AAAAAAAAAAAGAAAGAGAAAGCAGGAGCTCAGAAAAAGAGTCATGGCCCACCACAGGGCACATGGCTATGGAGGTGTCCAGAGCAGAAAGCATTGTCCATTGGGCTTGGCTAAATGCATGCCCTTCAGCAGAGGAGAGTCCACTAAGCACTATAAACCTGCTTCTCCTGTTGAGAGTATTGCTCTCCTTGGAATATGCATTTTCTTTCTTGTCAGAAAAAAAAAATCCCTCAAAGTGAAAAAATGAGGCATTTCTGCAAGACATGTGACATTTTCAAGAAAAAAAAATGGATCTTAGTTGTCTTAATAATCTTGTGCTTCTCTGATAGAAGTACCACAATCAGATGTCCTTAACAAAGAGAAATGTATTTTCCTCATAGTTTGTTATTGTTGTTGAGTATCATCAAGTCAAAACCAAGCCATAGCTGACCCTCCAGCAGGTTTTCAGATGCAGTTAATCGAACAAGAGTCCATCCTTCTCCTGTGGAGGGGCTGGTGTATTTCAACGTCATGCCTTTCCATAGTTTAGAAAATTAGAAGTCTGAATTCAGATCACCAACTCAAAAGGGAAGACTTTCTCTGTGTTTGCTCAAAAGTAGGTCCTTGTCTCTTCAGCTTCTGCTTCCTGGCTTATTGGATGTTCCTGTGTGTTTTAGTATTTATGGTACCCAATCTCTCTCTCTTGCAGGTGCCATATATATTCACCAATACAGCAGAGACGTTTCTTTATCGCTTTCCTCATTTCCTTCAGACCTCTCAGCAGAATTGCCTTTGCCATTCATATTTATGTCAACAGTCTCTTTAAAGCAAGTTAGGCTTTTACTCTTGCTGTTATGTGCCATCGAGTTACTTGCGTCTCTTAGCGACCCTATGAACAACAGCTGTGAACCCTGCTCTATCCTGAGCCAACTTCATCTCAAATACACCTTAAAACTCTTCTAGCCTGCTGTTAGGGACCTCTCCAAAGTACTGAAGAGCAATGGTGTCTCTCTGGAGACTAACGTGCATTTGATACAGGCCATGGTCTTTGCAATCACTTGTTATGCATCAGAGAGTTGGACAATGACCAAGGAGGATAGAAGGAGATTTGATGCCTTTGAGCTGTGGTGCTGGAGAAGAGTATTGAGAATACCATGGACTGCTAGGAAAACAAACAGATTTGTCCTGGAAAGGGTTAAACCGGGTGGCTTCTTGGAGGCAAAGGATTCTGAGGCTCCGTCTCACATACTTTGGACATGTTGTGAGGAGAGACCGGTCCTTGGAGAAGGACATCACGCTGGGGAGGGTGGAGGGACAGTGCAGGAGGGGAAGGCCCTCTATGAGGTGGATTGACTCAGTGACTGGGATAATTGGGATGGGAGTGTCAGAGACAGTGTGATTGGCGCAGGACAGAGCAGAGTTTAGGGCTGTTGTACATAGGGTCGCTATGAGTCGCAAGCAACTTGATGGCACATAACAACAACAACAAGCCTCTACCCATTACTCAATTTCAAAGCTACTTCCATATTTTAGGTATCTGTTTGAGCAGTGCCTCGACTTCCCAGTATCAGATTTTGTCTTGTTGTTGTTGTTGTTGTTATGTACTGTTATGTGTTATGGAGAAGGACTCATAATGATCTTATGAACAAGACCTGAGCCCTGCCCTATCCTGCACCATCCTCATCACCCCTGACAGATCCATTATCATATCAGAACTGACTTGAAGACGCAGAGCTGAAGCTCCAACAGATTTTCTAAGGTTGTGTTATCACATAGGAGGAGATTATCTATCGTTCTTCCTCACCAGAGAGTCACCGCTTTTGGGTTAGCAGAACAACACTCAATAAACTATATTCCCAGCGCTCCCTCCTAGTTATCCAGCCCTGCTGTAAATACCAAAAGTGGATGGATTTAACAAATAATTTATTTTCCCATGATTAAGAGGTTAGAGGTCCAAATTCAGTGCACTAGTTAGAAGGGAAGGCTTTCTCTACCTTCTGACACTGGAAGAAGGTCCTTGTCTCTCTTCCTTCTGCTTCCTCATTCTTTGTATTTCTCCATGTGTCTGGCATCTATTTCTCTCTCTCTCTCTCTCTCTCCTTGTTTTATCTCTTTTACATCTCATAAGAGATTGACTCAAGATAGACCCCACACTAATCTTGCCTCATTCATGTAATAAAGTTGAACCTTTCCCAAATGGGATTATACCCACAGGTACAGAGATCAGAATTTATGAAATATATTGGGGTGGGGTGGGAGAGGCATGACATAAGTCAGTCCTTAACAATGGTTGATTTGAGTATCAAATTTTATTGCCGCTATAAATATTCTTATTTTGCTTTTGTCCAATTCCTAAAAGTGATTGGATCACACTTTTAAAGCTGGAAATGTCACCACTTCTAACTGCTCTGAAAAGGATCACAATAAAGAGTTCTGGAGAGATTAGGAGAAAAATATGGGGGGAAAAAAAACCCTCAAGATTATAAAAGTGGCCAGACTTAATAGTCTAATAGAGACTAGTGGAACCCCCAGGACTATGGCCCTCAAATCACCACTTGAGCCTGAAATATACTCACCCATGATTCATCTTTCAGCCAAACAATATATGGGCTAGAAGATGTAAGGGACCTCTCCAGAATACTGAAGAGCAATGATGTCAGTCTAGAAACTAATGTGAGCCTGTTCCAGGACTTGGTCTTCATTGTTATGCATCAAAGAGCTAAACTGTGACTTAGGATGATAGAAGAAGAACCAATACCTTTGAGTTGTGGTGCTGGAGAACAGTATTGAACATACTATGGACTGCTACAAGATCAAACAGGTCCATCCTGAAGAGGGTGAAACCAGTGTGCTCCTTGGAAGCAAGGCTTTTGAAGCTCCATCTGACATACATTGGATATATTGGAAGGAGGGACCAACCCTTGGAGAGGAACATCATGCTTGTAAGTGTAGAGGGACAGAGCAAGAGAGGAAGACCCTGAGTGAGATGGATTGACTCCATGGCTTAGGTAATGGGGGTAGGTATGTCAGAGATGATGAAATTGGCTCAAGAAAGATCAGGGTTCTGAGATGCTGTACATAGGGTCACTATGAATCTATGTCACCTTCATGGCACATGACAACAACAATAACAACACACAAGGATGAACAATAAAATAATCAGTCCTTAGAACAACCAGCCATGCAAGATCCAAAAGATGGCATCTGTCCAGGGATAAATCTCAGAGAGCAGAAGATAAAAGGATGAATGGAAACTAGAAGCACAAGGAGGAAGTACAAAGAATGCTGTTATGATGGAAGGACTGTACTCAATGTCAAAAACCAACATGTGTATGAATGATTGAATGAAAAACCAAATCAAATCACAAGAGAAAGTAAAAACAGAGAGAGGGAGAAGGGAGAATAACAGAAGTCTGTAAGTTAAGAGCAAAAAACACAGCCAGGGATGTCCTTTGAGATCTCCTTTTCCCCAGTTATTTCTGTTTACAATTGAGAAAACCAATGTCAAGAAGCCTTCCCAGTAGCACTTTCCTAGGAGGAAATAGAGCTAGTCTCTAGAACTCCTGTCCCTCAGCCCAGTGCTTGTCTTACCTCACTTCATGTGTGGCTCTTCTTTCTAGTTGCATTCACTTATGACAAGCTTTAATAGCGCACATTTTAGTCCCTGAAGGTTGGTTTCATAGAGTAGACAGTTTGCCCATAAATGGAAGCCAACTCAAACTTGAAACGGGAGAGCCTTGGTCACAAGCACACATGTGAATCAATCCCAAAGAGAAATTACCATACTCTCTGACTCAGATTTGTACACTAAGTCTCATGACCTTTTATATATATATATATATATATACTGCATCATTCACTTATTTGGGAAGTACCATTTGGATGAAGAGAATTGCAGCTCTTCAGGTGTGAAAATTAATTTTCCATTCAATATAATGGCAGCGGAGTCCCCAGGATTGGTATCACCCAATGCAGTAATTTATAGTGTCACCCACCTCCCACAGACATTTTTTCATATGTTGCTGTTGTTATGTGCTGTCGAGTCGCTTGTGACTCATACCGACCCTATGTACAACAGCCCTAAACTCTGCTCTGTCCTGTGCCAATTGTACTGTCTCTGACACGCCCATCCCAATTACCCCAGTCACTGAATCAATCCACCTCAGAGAGGGCCTTCCCCTCCTGCGCTGTCCCTCCACCCTACCAAGCATGATATCCGTCTCCAAGGACCTATCCTTCCTTACAACATGTCCAAAGTACACCAAATCCTTCTTTGTTTCTCATTGTTGTTGAGTTAGAATCAACTCATAGCTGATCCTCCAGTGTCTTCTCAAGGCGGTAAATCGCACAGGAAGAGATTGCCCTTCTCTGCAGAGTTGCTGATGGCTTCTAATAACAAGAGTGGTGCCACTTCTGGGTTAACTGTACAACTCCCTGAGGTGGAGATAATGCCACCAGAATTCTCTTAGATTTATTATAAAACTTAATCAGAATCATATGTGATAAAAACATTTGTAAGTTGTTTAAATGCAGTATTTCTTAGATTATATGAATACAAACAAATTTTGTAAAATCTTTCTGTATTGAATGACAATGTTATTAGTTACAACACTATTAGGGATGGAGTGAAAATCTTTTCTCATTTTCTTGAATTTTTCCTTTAATTATTACTTTATTCCCTAAAAAGTCATTGATACAGTCTCACAAATACAAATTACCACAATATTGTAGCTAACACACAAAAAATCATATGCATACCCATGTTTATTGCAGCTTTGTTTACAATAACAAAGAGCTGGAAACAACCCAGGTGCCCATCAGCAAACGAATGGATAGAGAAGCTCTGGTATATTCACACTATGAAATACTACGCAGCAATGAAAAACAAGGAACTCATGAAATATTATGCAAATGGATGACCCTGGAGGACATTATGCTGAGTGAACTATCTCAGTCACAAAAGGACAAATATTGCATAGGGCCACTGTTGTAAAATGGGACTGACATGGGGTGCGGGGAGAATAAGAAGGAGGGGACAAATAATGTATATTGCATTGAAACAGATGAGAGAGACAACTGTTTAAAAGGGGGCATATGAATGGGTATTTATGTCATTACAGATGTCCAGAGTAAAGGCTGCATAGTGGAGTGGACTTGGGGGAAGAGATTGCATAACAATGAAAGAGTTTTTCTTTTTCTTTTTAAGGAGAAGAATTAATTGGGTGGGGAGGGAGAAAAATACAACAATGAATGACTGGAAACCCTAAGTCTCTGTAAACTTTCATGAAAATTAATTTTTTTTAAAAAAAAGTTGAATACGGGAGGCGGGGGAACCCCACCAGAAATTTTGACATAATCAGCACCTATAAAAAACACCAACAGCAACAAAACCAAGAATATCATACTTGTAGTATGTACAAATGAAACCATGGGATTTGAAGCATCATTATAATTGAGGAATAATGACAGTTCTGACCAGAGCACATTAGAAGGTTCTGAAAGTAAATTAGCATGAAGTTGTAACCTCACAGGTATATTGATACATGTAAGCTGAGCTTATGAAAAATGTTTTTTGTCGTTATAGCTAACTACTGGGATGTTCTTACAAAAAAGAATAATTGTCACCCCTCTGACAGTGTCACCTAGAACAATCTGTGTCCCCTGTTGTCTCCTAGTGACCCAAGTGCAAAAGAGGTCTGAAAATTGGAGAAACGATTGGTTTCACAACAGCTGCTCACTGGCATGCTGTCAGTGAATTTTAAGCATGATCTGGAGTGTTTAGGTCTGCAATCATCTCTGCTTTCTTTTCTCTGTGCAGCAATAAGGTTTGATGGACTGCAAGTGTTTGGTTACACTGCCTGGTCCCTCCTGGATGGCTTTGAATGGCAGGATGCTTACATCACCCGCCGAGGATTATTTTACGTGGATTTTGATAGTGAGCAAAAAGAAAGAAAACCCAAGTCCTCGGCACTTTACTACAGACAGATCATACAAGAAAACGGTTTCCTCTTAAAAGAGTCCACTCCCGATGTGCAGGGCCAGTTTCCCTGTGACTTCTCCTGGGGTGTCACTGAGTCTGTTCTCAAGGTAAGTGGCTGCTAACAAATTGACTGTAAACTGAGACAAAAGTTTTTTAAACACTTTATTTGGGCAAAAGCTTACAAATCATATTGCATTTTTAATCATTAATCAATATTTGGTTTTATAATATTAATTATAATTGATTAATGTCATTAATTACAAGGTCTAATCAAAGTCTTAGAGAGCTCTGGTGGCCTAATAGTAAAAAGCTGTACTTCGATCCCAAAGGTAGTTTTCTAATCCACGAGCTACTCTGAGAGAGGAAGATAGGCACTCTTCTCCCTAGTGATTTATTACCTCTGAACTCACTGGAGGGTCAACTATGGGTTGGTTCTGACTCAGGGGCACACAACAACAACAACAACAACAGTACCCTTCTAGGGGAGATCTGGTGGGGAAGGTCAAATCCACCAGCTGCCCCTTGGGAGAAAGATTGGCAATCTCCTCCCAGACAATTTACAGTTTCTGAAAACCTGATGGAAGATCAGCTATAAGCCAAAGTTCAGGAGGTGGCGGCGGTACTAGGTAGGGATTCTGCTGTTCGCGCCGCGAGCGCGGTCATGGCGCAGCCGGGGAAGCTGCCCAAGGAACAGAAGTACGACCGGCAGCTGAGGTTGTGGGGTGACCATGGGCAAGAGGCTTTAGAATCTGCTCATGTTTGCTTAATAAACGCAACAGCCACAGGAACTGAAATTCTTAAAAACTTGGTGCTGCCAGGTGTTGGCTCTTTTACAATTATTGATGGAAAGCAGGTCAGCAGAGAAGATGCTGGAAACAATTTTTTTCTGCAAAGAAGCAGTATTGGCAAGAACCGAACTCAAGCTGCCATGGAGTTCTTACAAGAATTAAATAATGATGTCTCTGGAAGTTTTGTGGAAGAGAGTCCAGAAACTCTTCTAGACAATGATCCTTCATTTTTCTGTAGGTTTACTGTTGTGGTTGCAACTCAGCTCCTTGAAAGTACATTGCTACGCTTAGCAGATGTCCTCTGGAATGTTCAGATCCCTCTTTTGGTCTGTAGGACATATGGACTAGTTGGTTATATGAGGATCATTATAAAAGAACATCCAGTAATAGAGTCTCATCCAGATAATGCCTTAGAGGATCTACGACTGGATAAGCCGTTTCCGGAGTTGAGAGAACATTTGCAATCTTACGATTTAGATCATATGGAAAAAAAGGATCATAGCCACACGCCATGGATTGTGATCATAGCTAAATACTTGGCACAGTGGTATAGCGAGACGAATGGACGAATACTTAAGACATACAAAGAAAAAGAAGACTTCAGAGATTTGATTAGACAAGGAATTCTAAAGAATGAAAATGGGACTCCAGAAGATGAAGAAAATTTTGAAGAAGCTATTAAAAATGTCAACACAGCACTAAATACAACTCAGATTCCAAGCAGTATTGAAGATATATTTAATGATGATCGCTGCATAAATATCACCAAACAGACACCATCATTTTGGATTTTAGCTCGTGGTTTAAAAGAATTTGTGGCCAAGGAAGGTCAAGGAAATTTACCTGTTCGAGGAACAATTCCTGATATGATTGCAGATTCAGGCAAATACATAAAATTACAAAATGTTTACCGTGAAAAAGCAAAGAAGGATACGGCCGCTGTGGGTAATCATGTTGCCAAACTGCTGCAGTCCATAGGCCAGGCCCCAGAGTCCATTTCAGAGAAAGAATTAAAGTTACTTTGCAATAATTCTGCATTTCTTCGAGTAGTGCGATGTCGCTCTTTAGCTGAAGAATATGGTGTGGATACAATCAACAAGGATGAAATTATTTCCAACATAGACAATCCAGATAATGAGATAGTGCTGTACTTAATGTTACGGGCTGTTGACAGATTTCATAAACAACATGGAAGATACCCAGGAGTGTCTAACTATCAAGTTGAAGAAGATGTAGGAAAGTTGAAATCTTGTCTCACTGGATTCCTTCAGGAATATGGATTATCTGTAATGGTGAAAGATGACTATGTCCATGAATTTTGCCGTTACGGAGCTGCTGAGCCACATACCATTGCTGCATTTTTAGGGGGAGCTGCTGCTCAAGAAGTTATAAAAATAATCACCAAACAATTTATCATTTTTAATAACACATACATTTATAGTGGCATGTCACAAACTTCAGCAACTTTCCAGTTGTAGACTATTCATCCTGTGTAGAGTTATTAATGCAACTCTAATTGTCTTCAGGTTGTGCCCTAGTCTAAGGAAACTTATGAAATTGTTTCATAATAAACATTTTACTCATTTGTAAAAAAAAAATAAGCCAAAATTCAGTTTGACAGCAATAAAGAGATGCATGAAGACAGAGATGTTTGAAGCTTTGTTGCCTACTGTATGCCTTCCTAGATAGCTTTCAGTTTGCATATCACATTTTCTCACTAATTTTCCCCAAGTCTCATTTTATAAGGCAAGAAAACTAAGGTTTGAGGAGCTTACATAACCTGCCCCCTTATATAACCTGATCTGCCTCTCTCCTGATTACTATGCTTTAAGCCCTCACAAAAACACACTATTTGACCCAGCAATTCCACTACACCCTAATGAAAGCATAATTGCCACCCAGACAGATATATGCACACCCCATGTTTATCACGGCTTTGTTCACAATAGCAAAGAGTTGGAAACAACCTAAGTGCCCATCAAAAAATGAATGGATAGAGAAGTTCTGGTATATTCACACAATGGAATACTATGCTGCATTGAAAAACAAGGAACTCATGCAATATTATTCAAAATGGGTGACCCTGGAGGACATTATGCTGAATTAAATATCCCAGTCACAAAAGAACAAATAATGCATAGGGCCACTGTTGTAAAACGAGACTGACATCAAGGTTGGGATGTGACTGAGAAAGACTGGATAGATTATGTATACTGAATTGAAACAGATGAGGGAGAGAACTATTAAAAGTCCAGAATGAAGGTTGTATAGTGGAGTGTACTCGGGACGGGGTGGGGGGATTGTATACTAATGAAGGAATTTTTCTTTTACTTTTCAAAGAGAAGAGCGAACTTGGGGGGAAGGGTAGGCAGGGAGAAAGAATGCAACAATGATGAATGGAAATCCAAAGTCTCTGGAAACATTCATTAAAATTTATTTAAAAAAAAAAACAAAACACACTACTGCCTGCATTCTAGAAGTATGTGGGAAGATAGCAACCTGTAAATACGTAATGGATGGGACTGCTCAAAAAGTTCCAAACTTCGGTGGCCAAAGTTCACAGGTTATCAGTTTGAGCCCTTGTCTATATTTAACTAAGATTTTAGTGAAGGCTCAGTGATGGTAAACTCACTTCTGCTGGTGAGTTGGAACTACTGACCTTTTTGGTTAGCAGTCTGACACTTAACTGACTCTTCCACTCACTCGCTCATTCTTTGCCATTGAGTCGAACCCACTCATAGCTCACAAGGGTTTCTAGGGGGCTGCTAAGTCAATCCCTCTGGAGGAGACTGTAGGTCTTTCTCCCTCAGAGAGCTGCCAGTGGATTCAAGCATCCAGAGAGACATGGCCTTTGGGTTAGCAGTGCAAGTCCCCATGGAGGAAGCCACAGGTGCAGTCCCTGCCCCCCACTCCCAGAGGTCCAAGTGTTACAGGTGGTGATGCTCAAGACGCTACAGAATACCCCACCCTGGGCTGAGTGGGAGAGGGCATGGGGGTGACCACCCCACGTAGTGTCTGGAGGAAGGGTGAGATGGAGAGCACCTTCCCACCCCCCACACCCTGCAGATCCACCCCACACACACCACAGAGGCCTCCAGACACCCACATTCTGCACATGACGTTTCTTAGAGGAAACAAATGAAGACAGAGGAGACCCAGCAGTCAGTGCCCAGCTGTCTCTGGGCCTACGTGATGTCCCTCTGCCGAGGTGGCCGGTGGATATTGCGCACAACACACTTGACCATCCATTCGATGCCCTCATTGACACCCAGTGAGTGCGGAGCAGGCCTGGGTCAGATAGTCACACCGCCCTATATTGGAGATGCAGTCACTGAAGGCAGTCTTGATGTCAGGGATGGAGACACAGGTCTTTGCATCCTGCTTGTTAGCCAGGACGAGGATGTGGACACCCTCCAGTGCCTCACTTGTAACCATCTTCTCAAAAGCACTCTTGGACTCAGAGAGCCGCCCCTCATCAGTGGAGTCGATGACATAGATGACTCCATGGCATTCAGCGTAGTACTTGTCCCACAGAGACTGCAGCACCTCCTGTCCCCGTAAGTCCCAGAACACGAAGTGGGCCTTCCCCACGTCCACGGTGCCGATGTTCAGGCCCACAGTCGTGGTGATCTTGGACAGACTCATCCCCTGTAGTGCTTGTGAAAACGTGCTTTTGACTGCTCCAAGAAGGTCGTCTTCCTGGCGTTGTCCAGGCCCAAGATCAGGATCAGGATGCAGCACTCGTCCTTCTGGAAGATGTACATTTACAGGCCGGAGAGCAGAGTGTACATCCTGCCCGGGACACTCCAATCAAGGCACAGGCCTGCTCGCCCGTCTTCTCCAGCTGGGAACCCGCTCTCTGCTCGTGTGCCTGACTGTTCCGACCAGGGCGGGCCCTGTCCGTGGGCCTCGGCGGCGCCCTACCAGCCCCCGACCTGCCTGAAGCATGTATTTCTTAAAATGACTATCTAACATATAAAATGGCTTCTCTAATGCTTAGCATTTAAGCTGCTACTATTTATTTTAACGTCAGTCTAGAGACTAAGGTCTAGCTTGATCCAGGCCATGGTCTTTGCAATCACTTACTATGTATCAGGGAGCTGGACAAAGACTAAGGATGACAGAAGAATTGATACCTTTGAGTTGTGGTGCTGGAGAACATACCATGGACTGCCAAGAGAACAAACAAACTTGTTTCAGAGAGGGTAAAACCAAGTTTCTCCTTGGAGGCTAGGATTTTGAAGCTCTCTTATACTTTGGACATGTTCTCAGGAGGGACCAGTGCTTAAAGAAGAACATCATGTTTGAAAGGGTAGAGGGGCAGCATAGGCTAGGGGAAATCTAGGTAAAATGGATTGACACAGTAACTGGGGTAATTTGGGGGTGATGGAGGCAGTGAGATTGGTTCAGGGTAGGACAGGCTTCAGAACTATTGTGCATATGGTCGCTATGAGTCATACTTGACTCAATAGCACTTAACAATAACATGAGTAATGCTTCCTGGAGATTTTAAAACTAATACAGATTTTCATGTCATTTTAACCTCCGAGACAAAAGCATTAAAAACCACTAGGAGGTAAGATTGTCTTTTACCAACATCCTTTCAATATGATGGTACTCTGTGAACTTTCAAAACACTGAAACTGGCCATCTAGGCTATATGGATTTTATTTAAATAATAAATTAAATACAGATTTAACTTCATACTCACATGATCAGTATTTTCTCCAGTTAATGTTCTCAATAACTGGGGGACAGATGGCAAGTGGGCAGTGATATGGTTTGGTAATTAGACTATGAAAGAAGATACATGAGAAAGCAATTAGAAACAAAATATTTACCAAAGGTTAATTATCATTTTTTTTTCCTCCCTGGTGCACTTAAACCCAGTCACTGGAGAAAAAAAGAAATTTTTAAAATAAATACAGATCTCCACTTGCCACCTCTATCTTGAATTTGGATGGTGTTTTGCTTAAGCCCTTTGTGGTTTTTAGACTCAAGGAACTAGCAAGCACTTACTACAGCAGGTGGAAAATTAGATTATAAGGAGGGGGAAATTACACCTCAGTTACAAGGCATCTTATGTTTGTAGAAAGCTTTATAGTTGACAGGGAGCTTCCCAGAGTCACTGAGCACACACCTGTGAGGTGGGCAGAACCAATTCACTCATCACTACAGAGTTGACAAGCCAGACACTGTGAGGGACAGAATTACAAATAGAGTGTGGACGTTGGGACTAGGGCACTCTCCTTCGTGGATGTGCAAGAAATGAGATACCATCAGACCCAAGAGTCAACTTTTTAGAGTTTCTGGGGTTTTTACTGTCTTTTCCTCATATGCCTTCCAAACAGAAAGTGTTTCCAACTGGATGAATGAATGCTGTGTTCTCGTGTGAGGCTCTTGATAAGGTGAGGGGTATATGGGCGCACATGTGAACTCTTTTGCACATTTCAGCAGAGAGGAGGTAGAGATGGGAGTTGCATTTGGTAAAGGGTCACCTCTTTGGCTTCTTAGAAACAATGACTGGGATTAAACAACTTCTCTAACCCAAAGTGCTGACCCTAATGAAATTCACCAAGAATAAAAATTTTAAATTCTCCTCTTAAAAAGGCCCATCTCTTGTGATTCATTCTAAGCCAACTTCCTGAGGCATTTGAACAGACTCATGAGAGTTCACTACACGACCGAGTTGCTCAGGACAAATCAGAAAACATCTTCTCAATGTTTTCTGAAGCAATGTGCCTTCCAAGTCAAGCCCTACTTATGGGTTCTGGTTTTCCCATGTTTTCTGGTTTCCCTGGGAGATTTCAAGGGCTGGAGGGAGAAGGATCCATCAAGACATTTGCTCTGACATCACTGGGAGAGAGCCGGAACACACAGGTCATTAGGAAAGATGCAAGCATCCTTTATTCTTCTCCACTGTCAGTGAGAGGCAAATAAGGACAGGCCCTTCTTCCTTCCTTTCAGGCTGTATAGTCTAAGATTCCAGGCAGCCAGCGTCTGCTTCACCTGCTTCTTTTTCTCCACAGCCGGAGTCAGTGGCCTCCTCCCCGCAGTTCACAGATCCTCACCTGTACCTGTGGAACGTGACTGGCAATAGACTGCTGCACAGGGTGGAAGGCGTGATGCTGAAAACTCGGCCAGCTCAGTGCACCGATTTCCTCAGCATCAAAAAACAGCTGGAGATGTTGGTAAGGATGAAAGTCACCCACTACCGGTTTGCCCTGGACTGGCCCTCCATCCTTCCCACGGGCAACCTGTCCACGGTGAACCGCCTGGCCCTGCGGTACTACAGATGCATGGTGAGTGAGGGTCTGAAGTTGGGCATCTCGTCCATGGTCACGCTGTACTATCCGACCCACACGCGCCTGGGCCTCCCTGCACCCCTGCAGCACCACGGGGGCTGGCTGCACCCCTCCACAGTGCAGGCCTTCCAGGACTACGCAGGCCTGTGCTTCCACGAGCTGGGGGACTTGGTGAAGCTCTGGATCACCATCAACGAGCCCAACCGCCTGCGTGACATCTACAACCGCACCAGGCAGGACCCGTACCGCGCGGCGCACCACCTGCTGCTGGCGCATGCGCAGGCCTGGCGCCTCTACGACCTGCAGTACCGGCCCCGGCAGCGCGGAGCGCTGTCGCTGGCCCTGCACGCCGACTGGGCCGAACCCGCAAACCCCTTCGCCGCCTCGCACCGGAAGGCGGCGCAGAGGTTCCTGCAGTTCGAGGTCGCCTGGTTCGCCGAGCCCATCTTCAAGAGCGGGGACTACCCCGCGGCCATGCGCCAGTACCTCGCCGCCGAGAGCGGCCCGGGGCTGTCCAGTTCCACACTGCCTCAGTTTACCCCGGCGGAGAGGCGGCTGGTACGGGGCGCCGCAGACTTCTTCGCCCTGAACCACTTCACCACCAGGTTCGTGATGCACGAGGACCACGCGGGCAGCCGCAGCCCCTCGGAGCGCGAGGTCCAGTTCCTGCAGGACATCACCTGCCTGAGCTCGCCCACGCGCCTGGCCGTGGTGCCCTGGGGGCAGCGCAAGGTGCTGCGCTGGATCCGGGACAACTACGGCGACCTGGATGTGTACATCACGGCCAGCGGCATCGATGACCACGCCCTGGAGGACGACGAGCTCCGGATTTACTACTTGGACAGATACATCCAGGAGGCTCTGAAAGGTGAGGCTCGGAGCTCCAGGGCACGTGCGAGAGTCCCGGGTAGAATGGGCAAGGAACGAGGACAGTCGGAAAGGAATTAATGATTTTAGGCATTGCATGGATGACAGCAACCGGGAACAAGACGTGCACTGCAAAGTGGACGGAGGGAGGAAAGTGAGCAACAATGAATGAATCAAAACCCAACCTTTCTGTCAATTTTCTTTAAAATCACAGTAAAAAAAAAGTGTGTAGGGGGAGGGATGATAGCTAGGACAAAAGGATTGGCCAGTTGTACCCAAAGTCCTATTAGGTGGACAGTGTCGGGAACACTGAGTTTTCTACTGTTTGTTGTTGTATACCATCATTCTGAACCTACCCATAGCTGATCCTCTAGGAGGTTTTCAGAGGCAGTTTATCACACAGAAGACTGTCCGTCCTTCTGCAGAACAGCTAGCTGGTGGATTCAAACCACATGCCTTTGGGATTGCAGTGCAATTTTTTACCACTAGGCCACCAGAGCTCCCTATGATTTCTATGGGAGTTTCAGAATGGTTTTCTCTGCTCATTAGAGTAGTACATAGGGTTGGACAATGACTAAGGATGACAGAAGAAGAATAGATGCCTTCGAGTTGTGGTGCTGGAGAAGAGTCTTGAACATACCATGGACTGCCAAAAAAACAAATAAGTCTGTCTTGGAGAAGGTGAAACCAAGTCTCTCCTTGGAGGCTAGGGTTTTGAAGCTCTGCCTCACTTATATTGGGCATGTGACCAGGAGAGATTGGTCCTTGGAGAAGGACATCAAGCTTGGAAGGGTGGATGGACAACATAGCAGAGGGAGACCCTGGATGAGATGGATTGATACAGTAACTGGGGCCATGGGGGTTGATGTGTCAGTATTAGTGAGACTGGTTCAGTACAGGGAAGGGTTCAGAGCTGCTGTACATAAGGTCGCTATACAGGAGACTCAACCAATAACATTCTGAGACAGGTTTGGAAGCAGGAGTGGCATCCACTTCCTAACAATTTGCCTCCGGAAACTCTATGAACTTATCTCTCACTCCCCACAATAAGCACTATAATTATTGGGTTACATTCCTCTAGTGTGCTTGAAAGGCATTTTTTATATAATTCTGTTCCTATTAATATAGTCCTTGTTTTGTTTTATAATATAGTCTTGTTTCCAACTATTTTTTTACACATTATGTTTCATGTAATTATTCTTTGTAAACATTGTAATAGGTGCTTATGATCTCCCCATTTAGGGAGGTCTCATGGCCTAGTAGCTAAAGAGTTGTGCTGCCAACCCAAAGGTAGTGGTTGTTATTAGGCATCTTTGAGCAGGTTATGACTCATAACCCTATGAATAGTAGATCTAAACCCTGTCCTATCTTGTGACATCCTCATCATCTCTGACACACTTGAACCCACTGCTGCAGTCACTGTGCCAAATCCATCTTGTTTGTAGAGGGTCTTCCTCTCCATCATTGGCCCTCTATCTTTCTAAGCATGATGTCCATTTTCAGAAATAACCCCTCCTGACAACATGCCCAAAGCAAGTGAGACAAAGCTTCACCATACTTGTCTCTGAAGAGCACTCTGACCACACTTTTCCCAAGACACTTCTGTTGGTTCTGTTGGCAGTCTACTGTGACACCAACTCAAAAACTCAAAGGCATCGAATCTTCTGTTCATTGTCCAGCTCTCTGATGCATAGCAAACAATAGAGAAGACCATAGCCTGGATCAGGCACACCTTGTTCTTTAAACTGACATCATTGGTCCTTCGTGTCTTGGAGAGGTCCTTGACAGCAGACTTACCCACTGCAACATGTCTTGTGATTTCTTGACTACTGGTATCAAGGATGTTCATTGTGGATTCAAGTAAGATGAAATCACTAGCTGTTCCACTGGAGAATCCCCTCCTGTGTGGTTTACAGCCTCCAAAAACCTGCTGGAGGGTCAGCTATGCATCGACAACACATAACAGCATTTGATCATATGTTGTTGTGTGTCTTAGAGTTGGTAGCCACCCATAGTTGACCCTGCAGCAGGTTTTCAGAGGCAGTTAATTGCATGGGAGGAGACGGCCCATTCTTCTTCCACAGAGCAGCTGGTGACCTCAAAGTTCCTGCCTTTGGGATTGCAGTGCAGCTTCTTGCCACAAGGCCACCAGAGCTCATAATATATGTATAAGATACATTCTTTCAGGGGAGCTCTGGTGGCCTAGTGGCAAGAAGCTGCAACTATAATCCCAGAGGCGTGGTTCGAATCCACCAGATGCTCTGCTGGGGAAGGAAGGACAATCTCCTCCTATACCAGTCAGATCTGATTTGACGGTACACTCACACAAAAATAATAATAATAAAAAAAGATACATTCTTTCAATACTCACTGAGTTTTCAGAAGCTGTAAATCACATAGGATAAGATTGTCCATCATTATCCTGCAGAGCAAGTGGTGAGTTTGAACCATCCACTTTTGGGTTGGCAGCACAACTCCTTGTCCAATAGGCTTCCAGACTATGATATAAAGTTTTATAGAGTAAAATAGAGCAGGGAGGAGAATAGGAGAAGACAGAAGGAGAGGAGAATAGAGATGAGTTCTAAATAAGGTGATTAGGTAAAGCTTCAATGAACTGGAGGAATAAGGCAGTTAAGGAGAAGAGTGTTCAAGGTGAGGGAAAGCATATGTAAAAACTATAACGTGTGGAGAAACTAGAACCCTTATTCACTGTTGGTGGGAGTGTAAAATGGTGCAAACATTGTGGAAAGTGGTATGACACTTTCTCAAAAAGTTGGAAACAGAGATACCATTTGACCCAGCAATTCCACTACTGGGAATACACCCTAAAGAGAACATAAATGACATCCAAGAAGATATATGCACACCTATGTTTATTGCAGCTTTGTTCACAATAGCAAGGAGTTGGAAACAACCTAACTGCACATCAACAAATGAATAGATAGAGAAGCTGTGGTATATTC